AACTTGCTGGCAAGAATACTGTGGGAAACCATATCAAAAGCTTTGCTAAAGTCAAGGAACACTACATCCACTGCTTTCCCTTCATCCACAGAACCAGTTATCTCGTCATAGAAGGCAATTAGATTAGTCAGGCATGACTTGCCCTTGGTGAATCCATGCTGACTGTTCCTGATCACTTTTCTCTCCTCTAAGTGCTTCAGAATTGATTCCTTGAGGACCTGCTCCATGATTTTTCCGGGGACTGAGGTGAGGCTGATTGGCCTGTAGTTCCCAGGATCCTCCTTCTTCCCTTTTTTAAAGATGGGCACTACATTAGCCTTTTTCCCATCGTTCGGAACTTCCCCGGATCGCCATGAGTTTTCAAAGATAATGACAATGGCTCTGCAATCACATCCGCTAACTCCTTTAGCACTCTCGGATGCAACGCATCCGGCCCCATGGACTTGTGCACGTCCAGCTTTCCTAAATAGTCCCGAACCACTTCTTTCTCCACAGAGGGCTGGTCACCTCCTCCCCATGCTGTGCTGCCCAGTGCAGTAGTCTGGGAGCTGACCTTGTTCATTAAAAATGCATTTTGGAGGGGCACTGAAACTATTCACAAATCTGGGTTGAATTCACCAAATAGTTTTGTCTGAAGGGAAAAAAAACCTGAAAATGGCAAAATGGTAAATTTCAACCATTTTGAAATGAAAAGTTTTGTTTTGACCATTCTAAAATTAAACACTTCAACTTTTCATTTTGAAACAGTGTTTTGTTAATAAATTTAGCTAATTTTAAAAAGTAAAAACCAGCTAACCATAACCTAAAGGAAACAGAAACCAATGCATATTTTGTTTTGGATTGGACAAAATATTTTGTTCAGCCTGAAATGCATTTTTTTCTCATTTCAGCAATTAAAAAAAAATAGTTTCAGTTCAAACCAAAATGTTTTATTTTTCAGCATGGCGCCTAAACTAAAATATCAACTCAGCTCCATCCGTGCCTCTTCTTTGGCACTGCCAACCCTTCCCTGAAGTGGAGCATTCAAAGAAAACTCAGGAAGCTTCTGTGACCTATGTGGTCATTTTCTGCAATATCCTGGGCAAACCTTATTGAACTAAGTTTATGTATCTTGTGAGTTCATTGTATTATAAAGTCAAATGCTGATGTATTATTGTGGGACTGTATGCAACTTCTTTAAGAGGAGAGATGACTAATGTGAACCCTGGGAAGAGTAATGAGTTTCAAATGAGTTTTAAACAATGGGCCAGAAAATAATGATTTTTTGATTGAGTGGGTTTCATAAGAAATACTTGGGAGAAAAGGAGTGCAAATTTCCTCTACTGGATCCAAACTTTTGAAGCTATACCCTAAGGAGAAATCTATTGTCTATGAATTACCTATTCCCAAATCAAAGACTCAAGCTGTCTAAAGGAGGCACTAAACTTTTCATTAGTGTTCTTGTTCTGAGCAAAACGTGTTATGAAATTGTAACCACAGAAAAAACCCTGTGTGGGGCAGGGGGATTGAAGACTGTTCACTGACCACAGTCTTTGTTGGAGTTGGAGTGATCTCTGGTATGCTTATTAGCATGTGGGTAGGTTGCTGTATTTCTTTTCATGTTTTTTTCTATAATGCTTTTAACCTAAGAATAAAAGTGCTTGCTTAGAAAGAGGTGTGCAGTAACTTAACTATGGTCAATTGCAGTGTGTATAGGCTCTGAAGAGAAGGCAAAGCAGATCTGCTTAAGCAGTTTGACTTACTGGGGAATTCACAGTGTAGTGAGGGAACTGAGTAGCCTGGAAGTACCCGGTCAGGAGGGAGGGAGATGCATGTCTCCACTCAGAGAATTGATGTCTGAGGAGCCAGAAGCATGAGAATAAGTGCTTTATGGTGGACCATAGAGAGGGAAATAAAAGTGTAGTCTATGACAGGATCATCTTACAACAATTCCTTTGCCTTCTATCCCACTCCCACTGTTCTTACAGTGGGAGGATGTGATAAAGCCTGAATTATATGACTGATTCCTTTAACATGTAAAATTCCCACTAAAGTTAATGGGAATTCTGATTGTACAAGGACAGCAGGATGAAGCCATAAAAGGAGATCTTAAAGAAAATCTCATGCAAACTGTTTGATATATATATAATTGTGATCCCCAAACAAAGCTTCTTGCATATATTCCACAATGCATTCCCCCCACCCCCATTTTTAAAGGAATGTCTTCAGTAAGAGATAGCTTTGGTGAGTAGATTCAGAAGCCAAGATGATGATGAATGAAGGCTAAAAACTATAGTCTTAGCACTGAAAGGGAAATGGACCATCAGAAAACTGCAATTTCCAAGTGTTCATTTCAAGCATGAGCCATTCAACACTAAACAGTCACTTTATTTGTCACTTTTTGTTTTCTAGCTTCAGTTACTGACTTCAAAGTAAAATACAATAAAAGTACAGTGCCTTTCATTGTGTCTTTGACACCTAGTGATTTTACAGGATTGACCTGCCCTCCAAACCTAGCCTTGGCAGTAGACCCATTAAACAGTGTGTGTGTTTTTTATCAGCAGGTGGTGTGTGTCAATTAGAAGCTCAGCACAGCCCTTCAGAGCGCTGCACTAACTGAGCAGTAATTGTACAGTAAGTTCCTAGATACTGCCTCAGTGTGAGAGTCATCCAGGACTGGAGGAGTGTCAGAAGTTTGGGTTTTTTTTTTAAACAGGCTGCAGTTTTAATGTTTAATGTTCAGCTATAGAGAAACCCGCAGTGTTATTGTCTCACAGAGAATACATTTTCAATATCTGTTGCTGTGGGCACAAAAACAAAGCAGCCAAATAATATCAGGATAAAGCAGGAAAACAATGACTGAAAAACAAAAACCTGAAACATGTCAGGTGCTTCTGATGTATTAGGCCTGATTGTATACCTGGAATCCAAATTGTATGTGGGAGGGTGGATAGGAGACTAGTTACCTAAAATAAGTCCCTATATAATCTCAGTTTGAGGTTCTATAGCCTACAAGATCCTATTTTTCCCTGCCAGAGGAAATTCTCCTTTTTATTTCAGTTGGATGTGTTGGAGGTGCAGAACAAATATAGTCATAGAGCTTAAGATTCCATTTATCCACCAGGAAATTTCTTGTTCTAAAAGGTGGATTCTATGGAGTAACATTAGGGTTTCTGTTAAAACAAAACAAAGAAGTTTCCCTTCTGCAGGACACCTGGAATTGTATAGCTACAGGGCTGTACTTATAATCCATTTTTCAGACTGCTTGTAAAGGAGCGAATCCACAATGGAATAGATCTTGTATTTTAGTCTTCATTTACTAAGCATATTACCAGTCGGGTGCTTTGGAAATGATTAATAACCCTTCCGAAGCATTGGTGCAGTCTTTAGGAGGTACAATATGAATGTAAGTCCACAGCCGGAGGACTGGACAATGGTATGCATATTCTGCTAAAATCAGCTCTCCAGCAGCAGTGCGTAGCAACTGCCTTGAAATTATGAGTAATGGTGACAGATGGAGCAGTGAGGAGCTCTTGTAAGGCTTAAATAACCACAAAAGTCTGATTTGTTTGCATTCTATGGAAATAATAATAAAATAATTATAAATAATAACCACACAGACAGGTCTTGACATCCTACATAATAATTCTTCTGAGGTATTTTTCTAAGGGTCTGAATCCCTGTATGTATGTGGGCTGTTTTATCCACACTAATAAAGATCTAATCATCGAAAAAATCTGCTTCTGAGCCCTGTCACAAGTTCATGCCATGCAGCGTTCAGTAGAGCACACCATCATATAGATTACACAGTCAGTTAAGTCAGTTTTCCCCTTAGCAGCCCACCCATCCTAGTGCCAGTGATTTCTTGTTGCCAGCTACACCTTAAATATTTTATCACCTATTCACTGTCACCACAGTTCTGCACAGTCCACACATGCAAACACATCTGTTTGTCTAGTGAACACTGCAACAAAAGGTTTTGTCTTGTCTTAGCCAGCAAAGCGACCTGACTGCAGCATTTTATTTTTGACTCAGTTCATGCTCCACATTTTTGTTAAGGCTGCGAAAATTGCTTTCCCCAGCATGTCATTTGGATTCATTAAAGACCGCCAGAGCTGCGAAGCCGCTGAGTGTTAGAACACTAGAGATCTCTGAGCCTTTCCTATATTGCTGCAGACCGTGCACTGCACTGCAGTAGAATTGTAGTTTCGGGAAACCAATCCTGAATGTTCATTGGAAAAATGTAGAGCGCCGCAAGTAGCTATATTTTAATTTAGTACCAAAGAGTCAAAGTTAACAAAAAGAGCCTTTGTTTTTTAACGAAAATACTGAAATATTCTTTAAAAGATTGCTACCGGGAGAAGGATTAGTGCCCGGGATTTATTGATAGCCTCTTAAATTAAGTTGCTTTGAAGGTCCTTGCTTCAGTGTTTACAAATGTAATATCTGCATAACATTGATGCCTTTTTATGTTCTAGTAACCAGCCTTTTTTAAAGCCCTTCACCCCCCCCCCCCACCTAAGCAGATTTGTGTGAGACTTTTCTTGATGACTAGATTCCAGTAAATTAACTGTTATTCCATTTCTGACTCCCAAAGAAAAAATCTTCCCAATGGACATCTTCCTGACCCACTTCTCCAATAAGTTCCCTTCCCTTTATGAAAAAACAGAATTTCTTAGTGAATAAGTATGATCTACATCATAATTTCTTCTTGCAGTAAAAAAGACAATTCATGTTGCTGAGCTCTTTTGACTTAAGGACATTGACCTTTATACTAATTGCCCCCATTTTAATAGAAAGTACATCATTCTTCATGTACGATTAGTTTAATAGAGCAAATATTAATTTAAAAATATATTTAATATAAATAAGCCCTTTTTACAGCAGTATTCTGCATTACTGATTCCAATTAGTGCTGTAACTCTGTTGTAAGATGCATCATTTGGGACCATTACAATGGAATACTTCAGTATTTCAGAACAATCATATGAATGAAAAAGGCTATAAGATGCAAAACATACCCAGTTTTGGCGAAATTTGTCCAGTATGTCATAACTACTGCACTGAGCATGACGTCATTTTTGGAGAAGTTGCAGTTGAACAATTCAGTGGGACCAATCATGGGAATGCCAAATACATAAGGAACTTCATCACCATGCGCTGAATCAGCCCAGCTTGGTTTCATTTCACTTTGGCAGTGGTGATAAAATGCATAGAAATATGTTGGAGAGCCATACTGGGCATGCAGGTCAGCTGTAGCAACAGCTGGGGCAACCCACTGGTGGTCAGTAAACAAAGCTACCAGGGTCTTCCTTCGTGTTTCAGGGTTTTCCTTATCTGCCCAGTCAGTGTACATGAATTTAATGGTCTCCCGGAGTGTATCCTTCCCTTCTGGATAGCCATATAGATTGTCCACAAAATTGGAGACGGAAAAGTCAAAGTCATTTGGGGAAACCCCATCTTCGTTGTCCACAATGCCATCCACAAATTTTAAGCCTTCCCCTTGGTTCACACCTAGCATTATGTCATAGTTAAGGAACTCTCCCTGCTCCATTAGAATCTGAGGGTCATCTGGAATCACATCCCCATCAATCACAGGCCCAAAGGCAATGTGGTACGTGGCTGGAGTGATGGTCTGCTGAATGAGTTCTTTGTAGTTCTTATTCCGAAGGCATTCAACTAAGTCAGTGGTATCCAGCATGTCGCAGCCCACTTTATCTGCCAATATCCGAGTGTATTTGGCAGGCTGGTAGTTCACTGCCCAGCTGGACAGGGCTGTTCCACTCTGTATGATTGCCTTTTGGAACAAACCTGCAGGTGCAAATTGTTTAAATGCAAATGAAATTACATATAAGAAAGCTGCTTTTACTAAGCAAAGAATACTTTGATTGTATGATACTGAAAAGATGCAGATTCCTGTATTTCAGTTCTATTTCCACTGATTTAACTTTTTAAATTTAATTTAATTTAAATTTAACTAATTTCTTCCTTTTCACTGTAGCTTTGAATAAGCTTCTAGTTGAAATCTCACTGGTTCTTGATGGTCATACATGTAAAACATGAAAGTTTTAGGTTAGCATTTCAAGGACAAAATATATTTTTCACAGTAACCCTACACCGTCAACAAAAATACCCCAGTTTTAGCGCAGTGGTAGTTCTTTAACATTTTTAATCTTTTAAGGAGTGCCAGATACAAACAATCATATACTCTTGTGCATTTAAATGACTCACATAAATATGTTCTTCACTCGTTTAAAGGTCAAAGGAAAATTATGCACTCTTTTTTCCCTTTCACAGAATCCAGGCATCATATAATTTGAAAAAAAAAATGTGCTCAGCTAAAATCAGTTTAATAGGCTTGATTTCCAGGATCCTTCTGCACTGACATCATTTTTCATTACCTGCTTACATATATTTTCCTGTTATCATTGACTATTCTGATAAATTAGAATATATTTGCATTTTTCTGAAACGATTTGAAAATACTTGGCGAGATTCACCTGGTGCAACCACAGACCCGGATTTAATGCTGCTGTGTGCCATAGCAAAGCAGTTGGAGAACACCAGTGAATCTTCCCCTTATGTTTTTCTGTTTGCTTGATTGGGTTTTTTTCTTTTGTTTTGTTTTGTTTTTCTTCCTGGCGGGAACACTGAAGGGTCCTATTTGAGTCTCCAGCCTAAAATGCCTTGTTTTAAAGGATCCCTTTTTACCTTTATTTTACCAAGAGGATCGTTACCTTCTGAATAATGAGATAGTGTTAGCAGACTAACACAGGATGCTCCTGCTCCAGATCCAAAAATAGTAACTCTTTTTGGGTCTCCTCCAAAGGATCCAATATTTTCTTCAATCCATCGTAAAGCTTGGATTTGGTCAAGTAATCCATAATTGCCTTTTGCAGCTTGGTCTCCAGTACTTAGAAAACCTAAAAGGCAAAAGAGACAATTTTAGTTCACCAGCCACAGAATTAGCAATGGGATATTCACATATTCACAACACATATTCCCTTCTTTTCTCCTTCAATTTATATTTATAAAAGGTCATAGTACTAACTAAATGTCTTCAGTGCAAATGTTAAAACCACAGAACATTTTCCCCCTGCTGTAGATGCCATGTGTGATGGCAGAAAAAAATAAAAAAAAATCTTTTTTTCAGAATAACCCAATATCCAACAAGCAATGCAGGTTGAAGGTTTCACAAATTTGATAAATCTTTATGTGAGTAACATAAAAAAACCCTCATCCAAATGTTCTTATTGTACTGTGCATCCACAACACACAGGAAGAATTAGGACATCAGTTCTTTCACTGAGGACAATGATCCCTTGCACATTCCTTTGGATTCCTTTTGGCATTGCCCAGAATAGTCCAGTACTGAGCAGTTCTGCAATTTATAATCATTGTACAGTACAGAGACAAGTATGTGGCAACAGTTAAAATAAATGAAAAATAAGTAAAACAAAATTGAAAACCCTAAGAAAAATTACACTCAATTCAATTCTACAAAGGATATTTACAAGAAAGATAGCAGGTCAATCCTCAGTCATTCAACCCTGAGCATCCAGACTTCATCTGAACAAATTGGATTCCAAATCCTTCCTTGGAGATTTTATGAAAAGTTGTTTTGCTATTTTTTTCACACCCTATACCATAATTATTAGATTTTAGAAATAAAGCATGTCATATTTGCTACTTGTCTTGAAACTTAGAATAACATGAACTAAAAAAATAAGGCTCTGATTAGTTTTGCATTTCTGAAATTAGCTTATTCAAAACATCACACTAACCCATGCTGAGTGGAACAATTTGGGTTCAAAACTATGCACTATGTCCATATTACCATGGATAGTCATTCATTGCTTTAAAAAAAAATTGCAGAGAGCTTATCCTATCGTGTGACTGGAAATCAGAATTCTAGAATGAACGCTTTAGAACAGCTGAACATTTTCAAATGTACACCATTAATTTAACACTAACTTACATCAATTCAAAACTGTCCTGAGTTTAAAAAAAGAGTAACACATTGCCATTTCTAAGCTAATAATCAGGGCCAGTTCAGACAATGCTGCCAAATGAGGACCACAAACCACTGGAGGCCCATCGCCCAGGGACTGATTGAAATGATGAACATTCACCACTTATGATCCAGAGCCCCCTTGGTGTGAGATAAAAGTTGCTGTCTGCTAATAGAGAGCTCTGTGGAGAAAATTTGAGTCCCCTAGGAAAAAAATAAACACCAGTTTTGGACACATTCCCCATTAGGCTCACCCTGTGGATCTAAAACTCTTGGTCATATGATATGGCAGAGCTGAGGAGGATAAGTAATTCTACTGAATCATGGGCTTTGCAAATATGGCCCATTTGAACTGCTTTGCCAAGGGAGCACAGATATGTTTGTCGTGGCTCTGGCTGTTACTTAATTGTCCAGAAGATACTTCTAAATACACATGGCTAGAATAATAACAAAAATAACAACAAAAGAAATTAGACAAGAAATGGCCGTGTTTAAACTCAGTAGCACTTGTATTTCCATGTCATGGTCTATCGTAAAATTCCCAACTGTGTACAGAAAATCTATGTCAAGATTTAAAAGCAACATCATATAACATACTTGAGAGGAATACATTTCAAAAAAGGGACAAAACTCCACATTTAGGTTATACAATTTTAATTAGGATGTCATAAAGGCTGATAATGCTAAAGCAAGATTAGCTACAATTTAGTGCAATGCACTCGCACCAAAATCACTTTCTGATATTTTATTAGCAATTACTAATTAGTATTTAATGCCAACAAGTGCTTTATAAGCACTTGCATTCATCTTGAAACAGTTGCTCTAATTTACTACAAAATGAATCATATTGTCATTGCTAAAAAAGATCCTTTTGTGTTGGCTTATTTATGAAAACTTTAGTCAGGACAGGCATGGTAGTTATTAAAGTAGCACTCTCTTTTCTGTTCCATTTAACACTGAAGAAAGAATCTATTGATCCATAAATGCCAGAACAATTTTTTTCAACACCGATCTAGTTCTTTTTTCACACCCCTTTATTATCTTTTTTGGGTTTGTCAAGCAAAGAATAAACCTTGCTGGTTTTGTTTCTGCAGTCCATTGCAAAGGCTCTATAATATTCTGTAATTCATAAGCCTTTATTAAATCAGAACTATGACCTCCCTGGGAAAAAGTGACTGTTGTAACCTTTAAAACAGCAAGGTAATTAATATGCAGAGCCCAAACACATTTTAGTTTTCCTAGCAGCATCAAATTAAAGCTGGTTCATCTTTGTGATTTTGAATTCTTTCTAAATGTACTGAAAGGTGACTGAATGAAACTGCCATCAACGAATATCTGATGTTTAACATATAAAGATTTTTTTTTTGTTTCAATAGTTCTCTGCTGATCCTCATTAACTTAAAGAGCAAGGTTTCTTAATTTAAAAACTAATCATAAAGGCAAAACAGCAACCCCCTATGGCACAAAATGAATGAATAAATATGTCTTCTCTTGATGAGGATATATATCCTTCCATGCTTTGAATACCAGATCATAATATTTGCCCAAAGCCATTTTTAGATTCAAGGCAAGGGATTATCTGTTTGTACGGAACTGCATAAACCAGCTCGGTTCCTTCTGTGTGGGCTAGTTTATAGATTTCAGAGGGATAAAGTAAAATGTCACTAAATACTCCTTAACATAGATGACTGTGCTTTTGTTTCAAAGATGGGAATTTACAGTGGACTTTCAGGAATCTGGTATATTTTTAAAATCCATTTTGATTTTTTTCCAATTTGCTTTATGACTCTTTTAAAAAGACACTTTATGGGGTTTAGAATACTCTGGGTTGGAATTTTTGATAGGATATGGAGGCTGGAACTTTGCAAGGTTCTCCCATCCCTATTAATGAAACAGATGGTTGGAGTGTCTAAAGCTCAGAATAGTAAACACAGAGCTCCTTTCATTTAAAGGCACAGAAAGAAACCAAACTGTAATATTCAGTTCCTGTTTTCACTACTGTTTTTCCCCCCTCTAAACCATGACTTCATTAAAAATAAAAGTCTCCCATATAATTCCAGGATAACGGGAAGAGCACATAAAGACCCATTGTGATTTGTTATACTATGCAAATTGCAACTGCACACAGTATCACATTTCTCAACCTCTTTTTTTTTTAAAAAACCCAACAAATATAAAAACATCTCAATCGTCATTATAGTAAAACTGCCTTAAAATAAGGCTTCTAAATTTATATAAACTAAGTTTTCAGCTGTAATTTCTTTGGATCTGCTATGTTTGTGTGAATGGAAAAAGTTTTTCTTTAACATACCAATGGAGCTGAAATCAAGAAGTAAAAATAATATATTATAAGGGGAACAGATTGGGATTTTTCTGCTTCCATAAACTTTTTAAATGAATGTACTGGGTACTTAGACCCATTCTGTCTGTTTTGCTCCATTTTATTGGTGCAGTGCAACCATAAAGCCATGTCAAACAGTTCCTTGGGGATTCAGGTAGTTGTACAGATGGCATACATATCTCTGAAATAACCCCTCCCACCCACTATAATTGGGGACATGGCCAAGGCAAAGGAGCTGTGGCTGGGAGTGTTACTGCCAGAATGACCCCCTTAGGCAGAGGTCCCCAATTTGTGGGGCACGCCCCTCCCACCACCACGCGGGTGCTGAGAAAAGTTGTGGGGGAGAGGCTTGGGCCTGGGCCATCCCCCCCGAGGGGGCAGGAAGGAAGTGCCATTCCCTTCTGCACCTGACCCTGGCTCTGGCTCCATGCCTGTGGTCCCATCTGCTGGCCTGGCTGCTGGCCCCGCAGCTGGGGCTCTGCTCCTGGCCCCAGCTGCCGGTCCCATGCCTGGGGCCTTGGCTGCTGGCCCTGTGCTCCGGGTCCAAGCCTCTGCCCCCTTACCCCTGTCCGTATCCCCTGCTCCTGGCCGCAGCCCCAGGGAGTGTGTAGGTGGCTGGGGAGGTGGGGTGGGGGGAGGGCAGACACTACGGGGGGGCATGTAAAAAGTTTGGGGGCTACTTACCTTAGGGTATTGGCAGCTGGTTGCAATTGGGGAAGCCTGCAGGGTTTTACCACTAATAAAGTTTGCAGATAAACACAAAGATTGGGAGACTAGTAAATAATGATGAGGACAGAGCAATCTGGATCACTTGGGTGAAAGCAAACACTATGTGTTTTAATACAGTCAAATGTAAAACTATATTATATATCTAGGAACAGAGAATTTAGAACATATTTACAGAATGGGAAAATCTATCCAGAGAAGCAGTGACTTTGAAAAAGACTCGGGGGTCATGGCGAATTATCAGCTAAGCATGAGCTTCCAAAGCAAAGCTGTAGTCAAAATGGCTAATGCTATCCTTGGACATAGAAACTGGGGGATTTTAAGTAAGAGAAGGGAGGTTATCTGACACCAGTGCAATTGCTACTGGAATACTGTGCCCAGTTCTAGTGTCCACAATTTAAGAAGGATGTTGATAGATTGGAGAGGCTTCAGAGAAGAGTCATAAGAATAATTAAAGTATTGCAAAACATGCCTTATCATGATAGACTCCAGGAATTCAGTCTATTTAGCTTATCAAAGGAAAGGTTAAGGGTTGACTTGATCACAGTCTATAACTCCATACATAATTTGAAAATGGGTTCTTCTAACTAGTGGACAAAGGTATAACAAGATCCAATGGCTAGAAGTTGAAGCTAGAAAAATTCAGACAGAAAACAAGGCACACATTTTTAACTGTGAGGGTAAGAAACCCTTGGAATAATTTACCAATGGCCATGGCGGAAGGCCGAGGGTGGATTATCAATCACCAGCAATTTTTGTCAAGATTGGATGTTTTTTTCTAAAAGAGATGCTCTAGTTCAAACAGGAATTAATTCAGGGAAGTTCTATGGCCCGTGTTATACAGA